GGGGGGGGTGGGGGGGGGGGTGGCCCGCCCCCCCCGAGGGAGAGGAGGCGGTGGTGGAGGTGGTGGTGGAGGTGGTGGTATTCCCGCATAACCTGGTAAAGGAGGAGGTGGAGGAGGAGGAGGAGGAGGTCCTGAACCGCCTGGTAGAAACGAAGGTGGTGGAGGAGGAGGAGGAGGAGGTGGTGGTGGTGGTGGACCTGATCCAGGGGGCGCTGTGGTGCCGTTGCCCTTCAGGTTCAAGCCGATTGAGTCTAAGTTGAGTTTCTTTGGCACATTCTGGGTCGGGCTTTGAGCAAGACCCCCGCTGGCGTCACCATCAGGACTCTTGATAAACGTTTCCCGGTCCGTCTGGATGCCAACGGTGCGGCAGGTCTTCTGCGTCGGTTCCTCCACGGTCGACACGGCGACGTCGCGGACCTCGTCGGTCTTCTGTCCCGTCGTGCTCAGCTTGATTCCCTGCAGCTTGTTTACAGCTTCTTCCAGGTGAGATATCGTAACGGCGTTCTCACCGCGGAGTTGGAAGATTTTCAGCTCGAAGTCAGACTGTGTGGAGGAAGAGAGGAGAAGTCGGACGAAAGAAAAGACAATCACATTCAGAGCATGACAAACTCATTCAAACAAATAAAACTTTTATTTCCCATTTTGGCAAATTAAAGACCAAATTCTAGATTTTTTTTGTTGCGTTTTACTGCATTTTAATAAGGAAAACGCCATCTTTCCATGAAGGAATTTTAGAAATATCAGCAGAGAAAATGGATCTGTGGTGGAAACAATAATCGCTTGAATTCTTTCCTTTTATTATAGAGTTTTTTTTTATTATACTATAATTCTTTCAACACCCTGACATGATCATTTCTGGTTAAAAAAAAAATCATAACCTTTCACTCCGGGTGTGATTTCCCCCCTTGAATCTCTGTGAGAAATATCTGATAATGAAAATCTGGTAAGTGCAGTTTTCATTGGACGATTTCAACACAACTACAGAGTAGTTGATTTATTATTTTATTATTTTCCCTGCTACACATGTTCCATATTAATACATGTCAGTTTGGAAAGAGTATTAGACACGTCCCATCCTTGTGGGCTGGCTCAGCATGTGTACTTCACAGTTCAACAGTGAATTAAAGTCGACAAGCTGAAAAAAAAAAAAACCCCAGCAGTGAGGTCAAATGTTTTTTTTTTTTTAAAAAAGATCCCAGAAGAAATCTATCAGTGGCACCGATTAGGCAACATTCTAAGAACTGCACTCACATTGGCTCCACGGCTGAAATGGTCAAATAAAGACAAAAAGATTTGACAGCCGATAATTATTTTCAACATTAAAGGTAATAAAATAAAACAATAGTAAAAATGATTAAAGCATAAACTCACAATACTGTATGGAACAATTGAGATTTTATTAAAATTAATTTGACATTTTTATTTTCATCGCATAACTTTGCTTTAAGTTTGTCTTTGAATTAACTGTGGAACAGATGTTAGCATAAACAATGTTTTGACGCCTTTGATATTTTAGCGTTTTTAAAAACTAAAAAAAAAAAAAGTTTATACACGCAACAAATCCTAAGACTTTGCAGCACAGGGGCTCTTACACTCCGGCGTTCCATGCTTTCTTAGCGCCATCTTGTGGTGAGTGCGGCAAACTGCATAAAAGGACAACGCCGAACGTTGCCTTAGCGTTTAAATAGCCTGGACAACCACGTGACTTCTGTCACCAATGATATGAATCATCATCTTCTACCTTTGCTTCCTACAACCTTCACACTTGATTTTCTTCAACTTTTTTTTGCACCAGTTCAGGACGTGACGTGTCTGGTTTGTGTCAAAAACTCACGTGCATCCTCTCGATCTCTTCCTTGCACTCTCTCTTCAGCTGCAGGAGGGCGGCCTGGTGCTCTGACAGTCGGAAGGGGGGATAGGGGAGGAAGGAAACAAGGAGACATGGCACAGCCATGTTAGGAACATCAAGCTTCATCAAGAGATGTAAAAATATGAAATATTCAACAGCAAAAAACATACTTTTAAAGAAAAAAATAATAATACTATAAAAAATTATTAAAATAATACTTAAAATACTTTTAAAACATATATAAATAAAATAAAATAATTTAAATAAAATAATTTAAAATAAAAATAATTTAAATAAAAATAATTAAAAGATACTTTTAAAAATAATACTTTTTAAAAATATGTTCAGGACAGTCCAGACCCATCACTGCTGAGTTGTGTCTTTAGAGGAGAAATTCTTCAGAAGGGTGAGTCACTTTATTTACCACCAAACCAACCTGTTTTAATTATGCTGCTGACATGAGGAAAAACTAAAAACAAAGAGAAAAAACGTCTTGTCTGGTGGTACTGATAAAATCAACGACAGGGAGTTGGAACGTCACCCAACGACACTGTCAACGTTTGTTTTCAAAAGTGTTCACGAGGGCACTGGTGTAAAGGCATCGGACATTCTATAAGTGAAGACAGACTGTATCTGCTTCATCATCATCATCATCATCATCACTTACATGTTAGCAAAGATCAGGATCAGGTGCTCCGATTCAAAATGACGAAACCGTCTATGACCCAGTGCGTACCATGTGTCTTTGCCGTCATGTTTGGAGTATGATGCAGGATTCAATTACTAGTAATTACTCAGTTAAAAACAGGAGTTGAATGAAGCCTTATGTAAAAGGTCAACAAGGTTACATTCCAACTGTGCATTATATAAAAATAAACAGGAATAATAATTCTGCTTTTCTCAATGAATGAGTTGCTCAAAGATTAACAGGATTTTGACCCATTTGTGTTTTATATTCTATTGACACCACTAGGTGGCCCTGTAATGTCAGGTTTCATTACCCAAGAGTCCAGGTAGGTTAAATAGTAAGGCTGATCTCCAAGTTCTTTTTTTTAAACTTTCATCACCACATACAAAACCCAAATATATTGTCTGTGTTGGTGTATGTGACCGAGACAGGCAGAAAAATTCAATTTTTTCAAAATTCAAAATTCAATTCCTGTGAGCATATCAGTGTCGTGTTCAACTAAACAGGCCCAGAAAGTAAATTAAAAAAAATTCAAACTAGAAGAAAATTTTCATTAAATTGCATTGACTTCTTGTGACATTTTATGTTTGGTGGTGCACCATGGGTATTTTTGTTTTCTGACGTACAGTATGTGCCACGGCTCAAACAACGCTTGGGAAACACTGGTCTAGATGATGGCTACAATGTATTCTGCTGACTCACCAGCCTCCGTGTACTTGAGCCCCACCTTCTCCTCCTCATCTTTAGGTTTGGGTGGGGGCCACACAGCCTGCAGACGTCCCGGTGTCCTGTCCTCACTGTCTGTAGGTGAAGTGAGTTCTGTCTGTGGACAGGAGAACAGGCGAGATGATGAAGATGTTCTAATATTCACTGTGGCTCTCTTTGCAAAATACATCTTTCAACAAATGACCTTAAATAAGTTGATTTTAAATAAAACACTATTCACGAAGGAACTATTCACGTTGCGTTTCAATGCATATACAGTAGTCACCTCTGTCGGGCTTTTGACCTCACTTCCAGGGGATTTTGACGTCCTCTCAAAAATCAACCTGAGGTTTTCCTTGTCATTTTTGATTTTCTTTCTCACTGCCTCCAGATCCACGTCTTCGGTTTTCTCCTTCGTGACAGTTTTGGGGCCAAAGATGTTTTTGAAGGTCTCATAGGCCATGTCGGAGGTTTTCTTCTTCTCAGGTGTAGATGTTGAGGTGTCTGGTGTTGCCGTTTTCTCTTCCGCCGTCTCCACTCCTTTCTCTGTGTCTGTTTTGGTGGGTTTAGGAGAATCCTCCTGTCTTCCTGCTGGCTTTTTGGTATTCTCCTGGTTCTCCTGTTTAAGCAGGTGACTGAGTTGCCCCATCACAGTGCTCCTGGTGTCAGCCATAGATTTAATCTCAGTGTGTTTTTTAGCTGGAGACACAGTCCTCTGTTCCGGGTACAGTTTGGCCTTGTTGACGGTCTTTTTCAGGCTCAACAAGGCCAGGTCTGCGTCCTTCTCGCTCTGCTTGATCTCAGACATCGTCTCTCTCTCCTCACCAACGGCCCCCTTTTTCAGCACCCTCAATCCGCTGAACAGAGCCGGCATCTGAAAGGAAGGAGGTGAAGACAAGCCTGGCCTGGATGGGGATGAGGTGGAGGAGACGGAGGGGGGTGAAGCAGGGGACGACAACTTGGAGAGATTTCTATCTGGTGTCTTAGGATCAGAACTTTGGGGTGAGGAACTTGCACTTTGTTTACTTTCACCTAAATGGTCTTCTGGTGCAGATGAAGGTGACATTGGTAACCTTGAGGAGGCTTGATTTGACGTGTCAGCGATCTTTGTTGGACTGGCAGAGGATTCTGTCAAGTCCTTTTCTTGTTTAACATCCTGGTCTGTTTTGGCTTCATTCTGATCATTCTCTAAAGGACGACCTCCAGAAATGATGGAGGGAACTGGCTGAGAGCAATCTATGGCAGCGTATTCATCGCTTTCCCCCGTGTCAACATTGATTCCATTATTCTGCTGTGTTTCTACAATGGTGGAAGTAGAACTCTCTGCAGGAGTGCAATCATTTCCTTCTGTGGTTCCTGAGGAGGTAGGGCTTTTTTTAGAGGTTGCTTTGTTGGTAAATCTGCTGGAATAAAGAATGTCCTCGATGCGAGATCTGTCCTTCAGTTTGTGTGTTCTGAACACCGGGACTTTGACTTCAGCCTTTGACTCGCTGCTTTTTTCTACTTCATCCACTTTGCCCTGGTTGACGGCGTTCCTCTCCACCTCAGGTAAGGTGTTCCTCCTGGTCTTGGCTAGCATCGCTGTCAGGCTAATAGGGCCGTTGGAAGGCTCCTCGTCTTCATTTTCCGTGTCACTGTGTATTTCCACCTTCTTGACCTGGACCAGGTCTGGGTCCTTGTCCTCAGTCTTGTCCTCCTTCAACATGCTCCCGGTGCTTTCTGCTGGATCGTCTGTGGGTGGTTTCTCACCATCTGGCAGTTCTTTAAAGGAGGTAAGAACAGCTGTAGTTGGGCGTTTGTCCCGGGTGAAGAAACCGCCGAAGACATTCAGTAGGGAACCAGCAGGCTGCTTTTCCTGCTCCTCCAGGTTACTACTGCCATCATCCATTTTGGTTCACAATCTGAACGTCAACAAGGAAAACCAAAAACAAACAGCGGCCAACACGCTAAAAGAATGTCACAAAAGTCTCATCTCTCCTCTTCAAGCTGTTCCAGTTCCAGCTCTACCAGTGCGTGAGAACAAAAGGCCTTTGTGGGGACAGATCGCCACAGCTCCTGTTACCTTCTCTAGGTGGGTGCCAGATGAATGAATGATCTGCCGAGTCTTATTTACGATAAAAAACAAAACAGTTGCACAAGCCAGAGAGCAGTTTCACAGACAGCCAATCAGGGAGCGCATGCTGACAGTGGCACGGTTCACTCTCCCCCGTGTGAGCGTTGCTTCCATGACGATGCGAGTGAGGTCAAGCTGCTCAGTGACTGGAAGCATGTCTTGCTGTAATCTCCCTGAGAGAGCAGGGGAACAGAGTTCAACCACGTTTCGCAAAAGCGCTTCCAACTGTCCACACGAGCCGAGTCAACCATAAATCCTCCTCTATGTGGTCTCCATGACTGAGAGGTTCCTCTGGTGTGGCTTCCTCGGCTTTAGCATGTCTGGCTCAGTTTACGTGAAAACAGAGTGAGTTGTAATGAAAGAAAAAAAAAACTTCCCAGGTTAGGAAGAGAAAAAAAACTGTCTCACTGGTCTGCCCAGTCTGAGGACGCCTCCCTTCAGGTCCCTCCCTTCTTGGGAGGAGACCTGCAGAGCTCAGGTGTCTTATTACCTCCGCTCACTTCCGTAAAATGGCTGCAGGAGCAACAGTGTAAATACAGAGGAGAGGGGAGTTGGTGGTCAGGTGGAGCGGAACCCCAGCAGTGGTAACTAGTGCAACACAGTGCATATCTGAGTACGAGCCAGAGGACTAAGGAGATTAGTCGCTCATTAAATCTCCAGCAGAAAAGGGCTGGAAACAGTACTTAAAAAACTTTAACAATTTCATGTTGAATAAATTCTGTTTACAATTAAAGAATATGTAATAAAAGTAGTTGCACTAGTAAATATAAGTATATCAAGAAAATACATTTTTCATGCCTCTATCATGCCTTCATTCCTTCTTCGGACTGTGCTAAATTACATAAAGCGAGGTAATTATTTAACGTTACGAGTTGTATGTACAAGACACGCAACAGTTAGTCAAAAAGTTCTAAGACAGATGATTTCAAGAAGTTTCTCGGTCAACTGGAACATTTTTGATTTTTTTTTTATCATTATATTATATTTTGTCAGGTGTTAGTCTGTGTTACTCATATGATCAGGTTTTCTCATAAAAGGGACACATTTCCTAATTTGACTTTGCACTGAACACCAGCCCATAGACAAGAAAGAGAAGTATGTATGGACCTGGTGTAAAAATAAATCTCCCAGAATTCCACAAGGAAAGAATCGGATGGAAATACTTCCTGAAGGAGGACGTGCAGAGAAAAAGCATTGTCTTAAATGAATAATGATTTTTTTAAATTTCATCAATTTGTCTCAGAACTTTTCGACATGCCTTCGTTTGTTGACTAGCAACCTTTTTCATGCTGTCCTTTGTCAACCTCTGACTTCATTTGAAAACTGTAACCTCTGATTGACTTTTAAT